GTCCATGAGACAGACATTCTGCAATGCACCGAGCCAGATCCAGGGAGATGCCAACAAGTCAATGCATGTGTGGATGTGTGGTAAACATTCACACGCAGAGGCAGAAGACAGCACGTGAACCCAGTTCAGGAGAAAAGCAGGGACACACACACACACACACACACACACACACACACACACACACACACACACACACACACACACACAGGGGAACAAAATGACGCACCGCTTGGACCGGCCCGCGCTATGCACGCCCGACAGAAGGTATGCTGGGCACAACGCAGAAGTGAGATGGTGAGGATGGCGCCCGTGAGTGAAGAGTATGCAATGCACAGAGAAGGAATGCTGTGACCAGCGGACACATGTGATCACCTCGCAACACTCACCCCACACTGGGCGATGACGGGTTCCGTGAACACGCCCTGGCACAGCATGCACAGCAGATTCTTCGGCGGCGGCGACACAAACACGATGGGCTGCGCGATGCAACGGAAAGTGGCAGTGAGAAGGGCGCGGGCAACGTTCTCTGTGCTATGATGTATTGATTGGCATTCAACACTATGCGTGCGCACACACACACACGCAAACACACAAACACACAAACACACACGCAAACACACAAACACACAAACACACACAAACACACACACACAAACACACACGCAAACACACAAACACACACACACACAAACACGCACCGGTGTTGAGTCTGCGAGGATTTCACTGTGATATGAGCGAAATGAGATCATGGTGCCCGTGTCCGATGTGGTTCGCTGATGTCTCCGACGATCCGAGTGCACGGAGCGAAGCGATCGCGTCTCCGAGCCATCTGTACAGTTAGACGGCAACCAAACCAACAGCCCAGCGTCAGCAGTGAAAGAACAAAGAAAAAAAGCGAGCAGCGAGGCTGAGCATCGAGGGCTGAGCAGCCGACACCACCAACCTCAACGGCCAACACCGGACAGCAACAGCAGCAAACATGCTGCCACCAGCCAGCAACAACACACGAAAAACACCCACCACCACCATCTTCTACAACTGGACTCACTGAGAGAGCCCTCAGAGTAGATGCTGGCGCTGCGGGTGGATCGAGTGCCTTGGGCACGGAGATGGTGCTGGCCAGGATACATGGACATGGCTGCTCCCAAGCAAGACAACCAAACAGAACAGAACGGAGCGAGGTACAACAACACAAGACAATGCAAACAATACGAAAGGAAGGGGAGCGCAGAGCCAGCACGAGTGGTGCTTCCTTCTTCTCGTTTGTCGTCCCGCTCTCGTTGGCGTTGCCGATGATTGGTGAATATCTTGTGTCATTTTTCGCGGCACCAGTGAGAAGGGTTTGTTGTTGTTGTTGTGCGCCGCTTTTGCTTTGCATTTGCCCGTTGCTGTTGTTCGTTGCTGCAGTGCAAAGAAGAGGGGGGTGACGTGCTGTGTGACGAACATAAGTTCAAGAGCAGAGCACAGAGCACAGAGCAGACAGCACCACGCGCCAGAAGCGCAACCACAGCAGGTGCTGGCATTTGTGTTGTTTGACAAAGCACCATGGCTGAGGTTGACGAGGCCTTTGTTGAGAAGAGCGAGGATCTCGCCTCGCTCACCAAGCTCGACGAGCAGATTATGGTGAACCAGCTCCACCATCGCTACGACAACGACGACATCTACGTACGTGTCACTGCATCCATGTGTGTGTGTGTGGGGGGGGGCTGGATGTGTGTGTGGATGTATGTGGGTGGGAGTGGGTGGGTGGGAGTAGGGTGTCACTTCACTGTGTGTGCGTGTGTGACAGGCGACTGTCCATGGCTCGGCCTGTTTGCTTGTTGTGTCCCTGTTGTTGTCTGCGTCACTGTTGTCTGTGTCAACTTGCCGAGACACTCTCTTTCACTGACACCGCACGTTGCTTGACTCTTTGCTCTCATGGTTTGCAGACGTACATTGGTGACATCCTTGTCGCCGTCAACCCGTTTCGTCCACTGACCATCTACACGCCTCAGGTACACACACACACACTTGCACTACATCCTTTTGCATGCAACACAACAACATTCTTCCGCTGTATTTGTACATGAACAGAAATACGAGCACAGCTCTGTGTGCGCTTCCACGTCAATATTATTAACGCCTTGTGTGCTTTTTGGGCGTCTCTTGTCCGTGGTATATCGCCAGTGGCAACACCGCTACCGCAATGCGGCCAAGTCTGAGAACCCCCCACACATCTACGCCATTGCGGACTGGTCGTATCATGGCATGCTCTCCTCCGGGCGTGACCAGTGCTGCGTCGTCAGGTCGGTTGACTGTTATTGGTTTTGCTGGTGGCGGTGTTCTCGATGCTATTGGTGTGGTGGTGGTGGTGGTGCTATTGGTGTGGTGGTGGTGGTGCTGTTGTTGTTGTTGTTGTTGTTGTTGTTGTTGTTGTTGTTGTTGTTGTTGTTGTTGTTGTTCTTATTCTTATTCTTGTTGCTTGTTGCTTGTTGCTTGGTGTTGTTGTTGTTGTTGATTCTGCTGATGTCGCTGTTCGTGATGCTCCTGATGTTGCTGTTGCTGCTGCCGTGGCAGTTCTCCTTCTGTGGGTTGGAGCGCGCTTCTCCGTGCAGCTTTGCTTCTTATGCTTCGTTTCCAACACTTGACTCACATAGCGCTGCCATTCTCACGTACACACCGTTCACATGCCATCACCGCTACCAGTGGGGAAAGTGGTGCGGGCAAGACCGAGTCTGCCAAGTTTCTCATCCGCCACATCACAGACCTGTGCCATATTGACGGCGACGACGCTGTCTCCCTCGAAAAGCGAATCTTGCAGGTGCGGCAGCAGTGTACATGCATACATGTGTCACGCGCGCGCACGTGTGTGTCCTGTGTATGTGTGTATGTGTGTGTGTGTGTTTGTGTGTCCTGTGTGTCCTGTGTGTGTGCATGTGCGCGCGTGTGGTTGTCGTTCTGCCCCATTCTTTCCCTGACACCTTGTCGTGGTTACTTCTCTATGGTGCCTACCATCTTTCCTTGCTCGTCGTGCACCTGTCCACATCTGCCACACCACTCTCGTCCTGTTTCTCAACCGTGTGTGTATGGCTTGTATGTGTATGTGTGAATGCAGGTCAACCCACTGCTGGAGGCGTTTGGAAATGCGCAGACCATTATGAACGACAACTCGTCTCGCTTCGGCAAATACACAGAGCTCGTCTTTGACGTCGACGGACACAGTGAGATGACCATGATCGTGACAGCGGTCGTGTTCGTGATGGTCGTCGTGTTCGTGGTGGTCGTGGTGGTCGTGTTCATCGCCCATCACTGTCGTCGTTGCAGCGGTGGAGATGTGCTTGAATTATTCTTTGGTCCTCTCGCGACCACAATGCCGTTCGCTCGCTCACCTGCCTGTCTGCACCTCTTTTTTCGGTTCACAGTCCTTGGAGCAAAAATCTCCGAGTATCTTCTCGAGAAAAGTCGCGTTGTTCGCCAGGCATCAGGTATGTGTGTGCATGCGCGTGTGCTTCTGTCTTGTCTGTCTTGTCTGTCTGTTGGGTTGTATCTTTGCCATTGTGTGTCTCTCCCCCCGTCGCTCCCTCCTTGAACTTGACAATGTTGGCTCAACTCGCACACGCACACGCACACACACACACACATCCGCAACGGCATGACCACACGGCCACGGTCGCACACGCGTCTCGCTTGCCGCTTATTCCGCAACAGACGAGCAGAACTTCCACATCTTCTACTACCTCTTCTCCTCTGGTGATGCGACGCGGCTCTCGCTGGAGGACGCGGGAGCGTTTGAGTATCTCTCCAACATCGATGGCGTCGACTACGATAACGAGGCCATGTTCAAGGAGGTCCTTGCTGCAATGTATGATGTCGGCTTCTCAAAGCAGGTACCCCCTCCCCCAACGCACGCTTCTGGCGTGGGTGTGTGTGGGTGTGGGTGTGGGTGTGGGTGTGTGTGTGCACATGAATGTCTGCTGGTGTATTGCGGGCTCTCTGTCTCGCTCTCTGTCTGTCTGTCTCTCTTTCTCTCTCTCTCACCGCTACTCACCGCCCTCACCTGAACCCATCCAACCCTCCACCTCCTCCATTCTCTGTGTGGTGTGGCAGGAGCAAGAGGACATCTTCTCGCTTCTGGCAGCGATCCTGCACCTCGGCAACGTCCAGTTCTCCTCTTCCGTGCGTTAACTGGTTGTTGTTGTTGTTGTTGTTGTTGTTGTTGTTGTTGTTGTTGTTGTTGTTGTTGTTGTTGTTGTTGTTGTTGTTGTTGTTGTTGTTGTTGTTGTTGTTGTTTGGCAGTGGAGCACCTGCTTGCGCATACGGGCTTATCCTTGAAACTCACATGCATCTCCACTTACACACACACACACACCCTCTCTCCCTCTCCCTCCCTCGCAGGGGTCGCGGGAGGTAGCGCGTGTGGACGAGGAGTCGATTGAGGTACTGCAGACGGTGGCGTCGCTGCTGGGCGTGGACGTGGACAAGCTCAAGCAGTCGCTGGAGGTGTCGATCAACATCACCCGCGGCGAGGTCATCAAGAAGCAGTACAACATCGCAACCGCTTACGGTCAGCTCCTGCAAAGCGTGAACGCAGTCGTGGATGTGTTTTTTTTTTATTTGTTTGTTTGGTTGTTTGTTTGTTTGGTTGTTTGTTTGTTTGTTTGTTTGTTTGTCGGTTTGCGCACATCAACAGCTTTGTGATGCCGCAACTCTACATTCTGTCTGTGTCTATCTGCATACAGCAACACTCACCACTCACACTGCCCTCAACCGCCATGATGATGATGCAGACGTGCGGGATGCTGCGGCAAAGGCAGTGTATGGCCGACTGTTTTCGTGGCTGATTGTGCAGATCAACCGCCTCCTGGCTCCAGAGAAGCGGCGGGTCGCCGCAAAGAACACCATCGGTACACACACACACACACACACTCACTCACTCTCTCAAACACACACACACACATAGTCGTGTGATAACTTGCTTTTCTAGCCATGAACAGCTGCTGTACTGGCACTACATCACCATACCGTAATGCACGCCTTGTCCAACCCTGTCTCACCAACTTTTCTTGTATGTGTGTGACATGCACGTGCCGCGTTGCCTGCAGGCATTCTTGATATCTTTGGCTTTGAGAACTTTGATGTCAACAGCTTTGAGCAGTGGTGCATCAACCTCGCCAACGAGCAGCTCCAGCACTTCTTCAACCAGGTGTGTGTGTGTGTGTGTGTGTGTGCAAGTGCGTGTGTGGTCTTGTGTGCGTGCATCCGGACATGGCAGCCACTTGTTGTTCGCTTCAGGTGCGTCTGTGAGTGTGCTGCACCTTTGTTTCGCCTCCCTCACGGTGTGCGCGTGCTGCCTTTGCTTGTGGTTGTAGCACGTGTTTGAGCTGGAGCTTGAAGAGTACACAAAGGAAGGCGTGGACACCATCAACATCTCCTATGTGGACAACACGCCTCTCCTTGAACTGCATCTCTCCAAGCCAATGGGGCTGTACGCTCTTCTCGATGAAGAGGCCATGTTTCCAAACGCCTCTGACGATTCTCTCGGTACGCAGCCGCTTGGATGGTGGATGTTTGTGCGTGTGTGGCTTGAACGTTGGATCTACAGATGGCATGTACCTTCTTGAGTGTGCGCACCACCGTCTCACACATCCCGGCGTTAAACCCGCTCTCACTTGCACGACACACACACACACACACCACCACCATCAGTGCAAAAGTTCCTGACGGTGCACCAGGACAGCGCGATTGTCGTTGCGCCGAAAGGGAACGAGGCTGTGTTTACCATCAAACACTACGCCGGTGACGTCGTGTACACGGGAGACACTTTCCTGGAGAAGAACAGAGACAGGTGAGGGGCAAGGAGTGTGTGACGCGTGCGGCCGTGTCTTGCGTGGCTGTGTTTAGGTCTGCACCGATGTGGCATGGCTCGTTTGCCATTTCGATTGCATCCTGACGCGTTTGTTCGCGTGAAGAACCAATCAAACAACCAAGCCATACACTCAATTACACTCACTCACTCACTCACTCACTCACACACACACACACACTCACTCACTCACTCACTCACTCACACACACACACACACGATGTCCGCGGTGCAGCTTGTCGCCGCTTGTTGTTGAGGCCTTCCAGGAGAGTACGCTTGAGCTGCTGTCATCCATCTTCCTGAGCCAGGTCACCAGTACGGGCCGCTTAGATGTCTCTGCCTCGGACAAGAAGAAGAGCACCACCACTGCCACCGCTCGCCGCACATCTGCAACGGCTTCCGTGAGTGCACGGAGCGCAATTGCCGACCACGCTGCGAGCTGTGTGGATGGCGCTCATGCATGCGTTCTTTTCTCGTGTGTGTGTGTGTGTGAAATTGTGTGTTATTGCACATGTGGATATGCATGCGCGTGCTTTGCCACTCTTTGACGAGTTTATGCCCACATCTTATCGACACTGCACCACTGTCGCATCACGACACCATTATCACCACGTGACCAGTCCACCCCCTCCTCCAAGACCAACACGGCCCACCGCCGCGCCCCGACCGTTGGCCGCCAGTTTACGCACTCCCTCCACCTCCTGGTGGAGAAAATGTCCGCATGTGTTCCGCATTTCGTGCGCTGCATCAAGCCAAACACGGGCAAGGCCGCATACAACTTCCAGGACGATTTCGTCATGGTCCAGCTTAACTACACAGGTGCTGTCCTTGTGTCTGTGTGTGTCTGTGTGTCTTTGTGTATGTGTGTATATGTGTGTCTGTGTCTGTGTCTGTTTGTGTGTATGTGTGTGTGTGTGTGTCTGTGTCTGTGTGGCTATCTTTGTGTGCCTTTGTGTATGTGTGTGTGTCTGTGTGTGTGTGTGTTGTGTGTGTGTGTGTGTGTGTGTGTGTGTGTGGCTTCCTGTGATATTCTACGCCAGCCTGTTTGCTGTGCGAGTGTGCACCGCCTTCGCTTTCTCATCCTCCTTGGCACTCACTGGTCATGCCGACCCCCTTCATCGCCGCGTGTGCGTGTCTGTGTGTTTGTGTGGACATTCAGGGATGCTTGAGACCACACGCATTCGCCGCGAGGGCTACTCCGTTCGCCCAAAGTTTGCAGACTTTGTCAAGCGGTACGCGTTTTCGTCAAGTGCGGCCCTGTGGGTGAATGCAACTGTGCTGACGAACCAAGTGCACGTGCATGTGAACGTGTATGTGTGTTCTGCGCGCCTGCATATGTGCGCTTACAAACTCGTGCGCCTTGTCTGTATTGCTTCTTTGCAGGTACAAGCTGCTTGCCTTTGGCGTCACTGCCAACCCAACCGCGGACGCAAATGCCTGCAGGCAGATCCTCGAAGCAAGCAAGATCTCCACCTATCTCATGGGGTGCGTGTGTATGTACGTGAGAGTGGCGCTTCAAGTACGGGTGTATTGGCCTCATGTCGTAACTGCATGTGTGCACGTGTTGATCGCTCTTGGAGTGTCACCAGCTGACACCTCTGCATTTTACTTGTATCCTGTGCCATCTCCAGCAAAACGCGCGTGTTTTTGAAGTACTTTCACGTGGACGAGCTTGACGAGCTGCTCATTGAACACCACCGCAAGGCCATCGTCATGCAAAAGGGTGGGTGACGCGTCTCCTCCCGCCTCCCTGTTATCCATGCCAACCGCTTGCTTGCACGCGCACATACACTTCTGAACTGGCGTCAGGAATGTAGTCTCTTGTGTCTGCACAATTCCGAATGCACCACACGACGCACCTTCAGTCACGTATCGAATCACTCACCCTAACACGTTCTTTGCTCTGCTTGTGTGCGTGCGTGCGTGTGTGTGTGTGTGTGTGTGTGTGTTTGCGTGCGTGCGTGCATGTGTCCCCTCCCCTCCCATCTCCCATCCCCCGCTCTCCCTTCTCTCCTTCCCCTCAATGCGCGTTGCCTCCGTCTCAAGTGCTGCGCGGGTTCTCTGCGCGTGTTGCGTTTGCAAAGCTGAAGAAGCGGGCGGAAGAGCAGAAGAAGGAGCTATCAAAGTTCATGGAGAGGATTGGCACCGTGGCCGAGCGCATGTACACCACCCAGCGCGCCATGTGCGAATACGACGTCAAGGTCAAGCACGGTAAGACGCAACACAAGAGCTTTTGTTTTGTTTTGGGGGGGGGTGAAGGGCTATCTTGGCCGACGAGTCATTGCTCGTGACCACCATACACATAGGTGTATCTCTTTCTTCACACTCATCACGCAACCACCGCACCACTGCCCCACCGCCAACACACACACACACGCACACATCTCCACACGCGCACACGCACACATCTCCACACACACACACACACACACCATTGCCACCACTGCAGACCGCGCGCTGCAAGAGGAGCAGCGGCGGCGAGCGGAGGTTGCGCGCAAGCAGGAGGAGCTGCAGGCCAAACTCGACCTGGAGCGGCAGGAGCAAGAGCAACAGATGCAGCGAGTGAAGCACGAGCTTGACCTCGCGCAGCAGCAGCAGGAGACGCTCAAGCGCGAGCTGGACGAGCTGCTCAAGGTGAAGGAGTACTCTGAGCAGCGGCAGAAGCAGCAGGAGGAGATGGTCCGAGTCCTCGAAGAACAACTCAGAGAACAGCAGGAGGAACTCGAGGCTCAGGTGTGTGTGTGTGTGTGTGTGTGTGTGTAAGGGGGGGGGGGCAGTCGCGTTGTGGTGGTTAAGAATGTGTGTGTGGGTGTGTGTGGGTGTGTGTGGGTGTGTGCTGACTTGCTTTGTTGCTTCACTAACTGTGGGTGGTTTGGGGTTGGCTGAACTGTTGTACATATCATTGCCAATCACCAACACGCACACACGCACGCACAACACACACTCACACAACACAACACGCACACACGCCGCAAACCCTCGTCACCAACCAATGCAACCCCCCCCCCACCGCCCGCTTGCTGCCAGCTTGAGGACCAGGGCGGCATCATCTCGTCGCTCAAGCAGGATCTGCGCGAGCGGGAGGCCGACCTCAACAGCCAGCTCGCCGAGCGCGAAGGCATGATCCGCGACCTGACGGCCAAGGTGGAGCGCGGCACGGAGGCGCAGAAGTACGCGTCGGAAATGAAGACCAAGCTGCGCGACCAGGAGTCGGAGCTGGAGACGTCGCGCACGCACATCAGCAGCCTCTCGCGCAAGCTCGAGTCGCAGGTTGACCTGCTCGAGACGACCAAGGCGGCGTACGACAAGACGGTGAAGCGGCTGAACGACCTGCTGGTGCAGAAGGAGAGCATCACGGGGGAGGTGCGCAAGGAGCTTGAGCAGACGAAGAAGACGAAGCAGCAGCTGGAGCACGAGCTTGAGAAGGCCAACGAGAAGGTGGCGGCGCTGCAGCAGCAGCTGGCGGAGCGCATGGAGTACATCTCGCGGCTGGAGATAGAGCTCGACTCGCACCAGACACTGCTCAAGCGCACGCACGACGAGGCGCAGGAGGAGACGAGCAAGCTGCGGGCGCGGCTGGCAGAGGCCGAGGGCAAGGTGATGGACCTGACCCACCAGCTGGAGCGCGAGGCATCCAACGTGAACATGCTCAAGGCCGACAGCGAGGGCCAGGTGGCGCAGCTGCAGTCCACGCTGCAGGAGAAGCAGAGGACGATTACGGAGCAGCGGGACGAGCTGGAGCGCATGCAGCGGGAACAGGACACGCGCGTACGGGAGCTGCAGGAGAAGCTGCACGCCGCCATGATGGAGAACACGGAGAAGGTGTCTGAGCTGCAGCTGCTTGTGCAGCAGAAGGAGGCGCAGGTGAAGCGCGCACAGTCTGAGAAGGAGCAGGCACTGGTGGACCTGCAGAGCAAAGCAGAGAGCGGCGAGGCGGAGGCGGCGGCGCAGCTTCGCTCGCAGCTGCGCACGGTGACGGCCCAACTTGACGAGAAGGAAGCCGAGCTGCTTCGCATGGAGAGCAGGATGAAGGCGCAGCAGTCGCTGGCGGACCTGACGCGGGAGGACCACGAGAAGATGGTGGCGGAGATGAAGCGCATGATGGAGGCGAAGGACAAGATGCTGCGCCAGCGCCACGAGGAGGGCGACAAGACCGTGCAGGACCTGGAGAAGCGCCTTCGCGCCGCCAAGAAGGAGAACGAGCACAAGCTGATTGAGGCCGAGGAGGAAGTCTCGCGCCTCAAACTGCAGCTGCGGCAGAAGGAGACCCACCTCGCCAACGAGGCTGCCGAGCGCGAGCACGCGCTTGCCGCTGCCGGCAGCCGCACGCAGGCGGTGGAGGCTGAGCTGGAGGCCACCAAGGCGCGGCACGCGAGCGCAGAGGCGCAGCTGCGGGACAGCCAGGCAGAGGTGACGCGGCTGCAGGAGAAGCTCGACCAGCAACACGGCGTGCTGCTGTCAACCAAGTCGGCGCACGAGACGATTGTGCAGGAGCTCGGTACCGTGCGCAGGGACGCGGAGGACACGCTGCGGGAGGCGAAGCGGCAGCACGAAGACGAGGTTGCACAGCTCAACTCGCGCGTGCAGCAGCTGCAGGCGGAGCTTGAGGCGATGCAGACAGACAACGCAGCGCGCGTGGCGCGGCAGCGGGAGCAGATGGAGGCCGAGCACGAGGCACTGCGCCGGCAGCTCACTCAGCGGGAGCGGCAGGTGTCTGAGCTGGAGATGGACGCGCACAAGAAGGACGCGCAGATCAAGGACTTGAGCTCGTCGCTGGAGGAGACGAGCGATGAGCTGGCGCAGGTGCGGGAGGCGAAGGAGAGGGTGGACGAGGAGATTGCGCGCATGCAGGCTGATCTGCAGGAGGCGCGCAAGGAACAGGCCAACCTCAACTCCGAGAAGGAGCGCACCAAGCAGATGGCAAAGGAGGTGTGCTTTTTCGTGAAGGCTGTGGTTTGGGGGAAGGGGGACGGGGTTACTGCATGCTGTATGTTTTGTGTGGGGGGGGGCACGTGTGTATGTGTATGTTGTATGTGCTGTGTATGTGTGCTGGGTTGTTGTCTGTGGCAAGCGTTGATCGCTGCCAGTATTTTATATGCACGTGCATGTGTGCTTGACTCTCAACACGCATCACAACCCGATTCACTTGCTCACGTTTTGTGTGTATGTGTGTGTTTGCTTTTGTGTGTGTGTGTGCGTGTGCGCGCTCATGTCTTTGGCAGAAAATGGGCGAGATGGAGGCCAAGCTGCGTGAGCACGAAGCGCATATGCGCCAGACACAGTCGCGCCTTGCGTCGGCCATCCGCACATACGGCCGCAAACGCACCAGCAACAAGAACAGATCCGATGTCGACGTTGACCTTGAACGGTGCGCGGCTCTGATGGGTGTCTGCCTGTGCGTGTCTGTGCCTGTGTGCCTGTGTGCATGTCTGTGTGCTTGCGTGTGTGTTTTGAGCTTGTGGGTTTACCTGCCATCCCACGTCACCTCACACACACACACACACGCTCGTGTGCAGGTACATGATGCTGGTGCGCAAGAAGGAGCCAATGCCGCTTGGTATTGAACTCTCGCGCTTCAAGTGCAAAGGAAGCGTGGCTAAGATGGTACGTTGGTTTCGCTTGTGCCGGCACTGTGTTTGCGGTGTTGGTTCTGCTCCTGTCCGCGTTTCACTGCGTTCTGCGAATGGCTTGCTGTCGTGCGCACATGCCATGTTCATGGTCTCGCTGTTGCTCGCACATGGCATTCCATCCAACATACGCTCGCATGCATGCTCACTCACGCCACTCAACACCACCACGACACGCGGGCCTTTGGAACAGACTGGCAGCCACTGGGAGCACCGGTGCCTGGTGTTCAACCTGCAAGACTCGGCCATTCTCGTGTACGAGGACGAGAAGGAGCTGCGCAGCCGCATCAAGACGCGCGTGCCCATGTCCGAGATTATGAACGCGGACATTCCAAAGTCGAAGCAGATGCAGGCCTCCCACGAGTTTATTGTGCGCTCGACCAAGCGCGAGTACCACTTCCGCGCCAGCTCGCGGGAGCACCGTGACGTGTGGGTGCGCGTGATCAACACCGTGTCCCCCACAGGTGGGTCCCCGCCACCCACGCGCCGCAACCTCTCCCGTACGCGCACGCCATCGCGACCCGCGTCTTCCATTCGCCGTCGCAACTCCATCCAGCGCCGTGGCTCCATCTCCGCCCGCCCAGCAAAGTGACGTGGCAGTCCCTGCCGCTGTTGCTGTCGGGGGGGGGGTGCCGGCTGTGGTGTGGCTGTGTTGTATCGACAGCACCAGCACGCGTCCCGTCGAAAATGGCTCAGCAAGTACACGCATGAACCCCATCGACGGCAACTTTGCTTTCTGACACTCCATCAACACCAACTCCCACTTTTCGTTGTCCCTGTGACGTTGATTGTTTTTCTTATCTGCATGCACACATGATCGCGTTGTCCCCATTTCTTGGCTTCTTGGTTTCTTTCTGCGTGCACTTTCTCGACATGTTCTGGGTTCAAGTTGTGTGTGCGTGTGCGTGTGTCTGCCTTGTCTTTTCCGCCTGTCTCGTTTGTCGTTTGTTGACGTCGCTTGGCTTGCGTTGCCTCGCATACGTGTCTTGTCCTGTTGATTCCTTGTTGGTTGTCCTTCATTTTCGTTGGTTGTCCAAACCTCCCCTCAAGGGGAAGGCCATCAAGCTCATGCCAGTAAACAACTCAACGACACCTCGCACAGTGTCGTCATGCTGCCTCAAAACAACAAACAAACAAACAAACAAACTACAGCAATCGTTGAATCTTGCTATCCACCAGATGTTGTCGAATTGTCGTGTGCAACGTTGCAGGTTGTCGACGACTGTACGCACCTTGTTTTACCCCCCCCCCCCCTGAGCGTACTAGCCTTGCACCGCCCACTTCATCACTCTCCCTTTGTCCTTCTGCCTTGTTTTGGTTCCCCGACCCTTGTTTTGTTTGACGCCACCATCCACCATGGCCATGAAGCTGTACTACCATGAAGGCAAGCGCGGCTTTGCCGAGAAGGTCCGCGTCATGCTCGCCGAGACCGGCATCGTAAGTACCACCAAAACGCTGAGTAGGAAAGCGCTGCTTGTTGAGGTGGGGAGGTGAGACGAAGGGTGCTGCAGTTGCTGTGTGCACTGTTGCCTTTTGTCGAAGAGAGACTGACGAGGTGGGCGTTGTTGTTGTTGTTGTTGTTGTTGTTGTTGTTGTTGTTGTTGCTGTGTGGTGAGGACAGAAGTACGAGGATGTTCCTGTGAACCGTGACCAGATGCAGCAGATGATCAAGGACGGTGTGGTCAACTTCGGCATGCTCCCTGCACTCGAGCACGACGGCAAGATCATCGAGCAGAGGTGTGTTGTGTGTTGATTTGTTGTTCGTGTCCTTGTGTGCGTGCGTGAGTGAGTATGTGTTTGTACGTGAGTAGGTGAGAGAGAGAGAGAGAGAGAGAGAGAGAGAGAGAGAGAGAGAGAGTGTGTGTGTGTGTGTGTGTGTGTCGAAACGGGGTGGTGGCTTGTGCACCGAAGCTGATGTGTGTTCCTCGCACCCACGTATTCATGCGCTCACGTACTCACATAATTTTGGACACTCGTCAACTCACACTCACTCACACACACATACACACATACACACACACACTCTCTCTCGTTCACCATTTAGCCCCAGCATCATGGAGTACATTGCTGAATACGCTGACAAGCTTGGTCTTGGTCAGGCCACCAACAAGTACTGCGGCGAGGCTGATGAGCGCCCCATCGTCCGCTCTTTTGCCATGGCGGTGTGTTACGACAGACAACCTTGCATGCTTGACAGTGGGTGGAAGGAAGCAATCAAGCTGTCCAATCAAACCGACACACGCCATGTGTCATGCACTGCATATATGCCTGACAGTTCAGCCCGGCTCACCTTCACAACCACCGCACAACACAGGTGAACGACTTCCAGACGGAGGCCAAGACACACCTGGGTAAGGACGGTGCACCCTCCAACCTCGACTCGGTCATCATCCCCAAGTGGTTCACATACTTCCAGGTCAGCCTTGCAACCGTTTGAATGGATATCGTGACAGTTATCTTGCAAGTGCTGGAAGAATAGCCGCACCAAGTCTGTTTGTGTTCGTATTTGTGTGTGTGTGTGTGTGCTTACATGTGTGCATGCGTTGACCCAACAACACACAAACAGAACATCCTGGAGCGCAACGACGATGACGATGTGCGCACTGACGAGTACATGTACGGCAAGGTGAGACGCCTCGTGTCGCATGGAGAGTTGTGTGCAAAGTGACAGTTGATCAGAGCACGTTGATGCCCAGCGTTTGATGGGTTTCGTTACTCGTGTGCTTCGATGTGAACTTGCCCACACACGCACGCACATGCACAAATGCATACACACATGCACATGCATGCACAAATACATACACACATGCACTCACATCCCCGTTTCACACCTCGGTCTTTCGCCCATTTCACCCCAACACACGACGACTACGACGACGACTACCAGCACCTGACATTTGCGGACATTGCACTGTTCGAGGCTGTCAACGCCGTGACTGAGCTGCACGGCCTGAACAAGGTGCGCCCCTACCCCAAGCTGAAGGAGTTCCACGACAAGATTGCCGCCCGCGCACGCATTGAGCAGTTCCTCGCCACGCGCGAGCAGGGCCAGTACTGAGGCCGCCAAGCCGCGCTGACAATGGACGACGCTCTTCCTCGTGGTTTTATTATTTCCTGTCGTAACAACATTGTCACACCCTTGGACCTCGTGCTGGAGCATTTATCTCGTGACTCTTGTGTGCGTCTGTGTTGTGTTGAGGGGCGATGGGTGCTGTTCTCCCGTCTCCCCGTGTGAGCCGGCCACTGTGTATGTGGTGTCGGGTAATTCTGATTCACTGCTTCTTCCCTGTTCCGTTTTGCTGGTGTTGTTGGCGTCGTGGTACTGGGTGTACACTCAAAACTGAACGGCGGCAAGCAACGTAGCTGTCATCATGTCACGTCGTCCTGAGTTGTTTGTTTATCTTGGCGGTGGAGTGAGAACCGAGCCATTGCGAGCCAAACTATCATTCAATACAAACATCCACCAAAACAACCGGTAGACGCCAGTCAGTGCTCGCGTATCGGCTGCAAGGCAGGCTCCATGGCACACCAGTGCACGTCGTCCAGGGCGGGGGTTGAAAGGTAGCAGGCGGCTAAGCCGAGCTCGCATAGCGGAGGGCGACCAGAAAGGCGAACCAAGCATGGTGTAGTGGGACGGACAGTCGATGGCACGAAGCGGCTAGAACTTAAAGAAGGACTTGAACATGGCGACGCTGCGGTGTTCAGTGAGGAGGGCGAGCTCGTATTTCTCCATCATCATCAGTGTCATGCGTAGCGATTGCCTGCAGCACCAGTCACACGGTTGATGTGGGTGCACGTGTGGTTGGTGAGGGAGATAGATGACACCGGGCTGTGCGTGTGTGTGTGTGCGTTGGGGGGAATTTAAACGCACACACAGACACACAGACACACACAACTGCACACGCACAGACACATGTACACGCACAGACACACACACACACACAGGGACGCACGCACACACACACACAGACGCACACACACATACACACACACACACACACACACAGACGCACACGCACAGACACATACACACACAGGGACGCACGCACACACGCACACTCACACACACACACACACACGCAGGTTGTACATGTGACGCACCAGATGGTGTCTGACATGGTGGTGCTCGTATTGCCGTTGGCATCGGAGCTCTGATGATCGAGCGCGGTAAGGAAATATTCAGCTGCTTGCTCATACGCCTTCAAGTTGATGCAGCTCACGCCCATGTTGTACATGGCTCGGATAAACCCTACAGCAGGCGACGGCAAGACAACGCATTTGACACAAAGTAGCACGGTGAGCAGAGTACGCCCATCCGCGGGCACCGTCAATCGGTTCACCAGATCTGCCCCATTCGCACGCACAACAGGCAAGCAGCTGGCGACAAAGCACGCGCCGTGTCCATAAACACAATGGGCACGCGATGCGAACCTGGCCTGAGTTCGAGTGCGCGTCTGTACACATCCACGGCCTCGGCGCTGCGGTTTCCGTTTGCCAGGCACGCGCCCAACTTGTTCCACAGCTGAAAGTCATCAGGCCTGGGGAAGGGGGGGGGGCATTTACCAGTTGTGCAGTTCAAGGGGTGAGTGATGCAAAACTTTGGGAGGGGGCGCTGTGCCCGTGGACACACACACACACACACACACACACACACACACACACACACACACACACACACACACACATACACACATACACACACACACACACTTGCTAACTCAAACGGACGGAATAGTAAGATGATGATCATGACGGTCACACCTGACAGAGAGGGCGAGTTCGAAGCAGTCGATGGCACGCGAAAAGTTTCCCCTAGCACAATGAGCGTCGTTGCACACGTTAAATCAGCGTGAGTGAGTGAGTGCACATGTGTACGTGTATTTGCGTGTGCGTGCGTGGGCTTCTGACTCCGCGCATGGCACAACAGCAGAAGCACGAGCATTACAGCGTGGTCGTTACTTCATGTGCTGGAGTATGCCCAGGCCGATCTGAAGGTCTGCATCCACAACATCGCCGCACGCCTGCAGAATAACAAAATCGACGTCACCACGATGAGCAGGCATCAACGTGACGGAAGAAGACAAGCGCGCGGACAAACAAGAACGCAGACGCAGAGTGAAAGAAATCGCGTGTGCGTACCGCACACATTAACGCATGCATATGGGCAACCCCCCCCCACCCACACGTATATACACACACCTCGATTGCGCTGAGATAGAGGTCAACAACAGCGTCGTGTCTCTGCTCCAGCATTGCGCTCACGGACGAATCAGAACCAAGCGAGCTCACAGAGCTGACGGGCGCGGCAATCGCAGCGGCAGTGCGATGGCGTGGTGATGGCATGAGCGAAGCAACATGTACACACCAAGGCGTCATATGAGTATGTTCGCATAGAACATCTTCGCTGGGCAGCGACAGTGCGCTCAGCCACACAAACCACACACACACACACACACGCACACGCACACAAATGACCTGCTCGCACAGAGACCAGCATTGCCTCACCTTTGTCTCTGTCGTCCAAGAGTGGTGCTGTCATCGTGCGGGACGTGGTGTTCTTGGACAGTCATGCCGGTAAACCGCGAGTCGCCACGCACAACGCTCTCGAGGGCATCGTACGCAGCCTCAAGTTGCATCTGCCAGCGGTCGGGGAACCAATGATGGGGGAGGGTGGTGATGACGAGAGGAGGCAGAAGTAGCGTGTGGGTTGTGTGGATGTGTCAGCACGTAGGAAGCGATCGCAGATAAAACCACACAGGCACACACACAGACACAGACACACACACATCGACTCACACACACACATCGACAAACACACACACACACACATCGACTCACACACACACATCAACTCCGACACACACACACACACATCGACACACAGACACACAGACACACACACTCGACACACCTCGTTTGCATAGCTTGTGGCGATTGCGAGGAGGGCTGGACGGCGTGTTGGGTCGAGTTGCAGACATGTGCGCAGCGCCGCAATGGCCATCTCGTCTTGCTCATTCTCGGCACGGCTGCGAAGGGCGTGGAAGAGGCGGCAGGTGTGGATGAGGATGAGGGTAGCATATAAAGTGGTGACAGTGTTGGTGTTGGTGCAGGGTGAAGAGAGAGGGGGGGGGAGGGTTTCAACAGCATCAGCAGGAGAAGGAGGAGGTGGGAGCATTAGAATCAAAAAGAACAGGTTGTGGGTTGTGGTGGTGCGGGCATCATGTGATTACCTGGTACCGAGGAGCTGCCAGGCCTCCACATGCGATGCATCCAGCTGGCATGCGCGCTCAAAGTTGAGGATGGCCGCGACCAGTCGTCCTGTGGTGGTGGTGGCGTGTACACATGCGCGGATGTGAAACGACGAAAGAGGCGAGGACAAGACACGCACAAAGCGATACAGTTCGCACATCAGCAGCTCAGATGTAAGGTTACACACAACACACACACAACACACACACACACACACACACACACCTGCTGCGAGCTCGTGTTGTCCCATTTGCACGAAATCGTCTGCTGTTCTCTGGTGGTCCTCGGCCTGAAGTGTGGCCTGAAACGCATATGCCGGTGCATCCCTTGCTGCTGCTGGTGCTGTTGAGCTCGCAGCAGTGGTAGACGTCGTGGCAGTGGTGGTGGTGGTGGTGGTGGTGGCGGTGGTGGTGGCGGTGGCGCCTGTGTTGGGTGTTGCTGTAGCTGTTGGGTCGGGTGACTGGAAAGCTCGCCGGAACTCCTCCATCATTGCGTCCACGGCCTGCGCATCCACGTCAACGTCAACCTGGTGCGGGTATCGCGCCTGCTGCTGCTGCTGTTGTTGTGGTTGTTGGTGCTGTTGTTGTGGTGTTTGCTGCTGTTGTTGTTGTTGTGTTTGTTGTTTAGGTGCCGTCGCTGCGGTATTGCGTTGGAGCTGAAAAAGCCAGGTGTGTGGCAACAAGAGCGCTGTCAGCACTGCCACTCAAAAGTCAACACACTCACACACTCACACACTCACACACTCACACAAACACACTCACACAAACACACACGCTTACTCACACACTCACACACACACGCACACACTCACACACGCACATACACACTCACACTCACATACACACACACACACACATGTTGCGCACCTCTCCATCGACAACGGAGACGTCACCGGCAGCGAGCTGCTCCATCAGCGCCATGAATTGCGACTGCTGCAAATCAGAATCAACAGACGCCCGCGCGTGAATGTCGCGGGCAGCCGAGCGCAGCGCCTGTATTGACACGCACGTGTGTGCAAGTCCACGCGGGCATTCAGACGTACGCGCGCATGTGAGAGAGATTGCGCAGGGGGTTTGGGGGGCAAGTTCACGTTGGCTCAGGGCTGCCGCTTACGAAAGGGCACACGATCAAACAGCAACAATTGCAGGCGTTGCACACTTCGACCACCCCATGCCCACCTCATCATCGTTTTCAGCGGTGCGCGTGGTTTCCTGCGCATCTGTCGTGTCTGGTGCGAGCATCGATTCTGCCCACGCGTGGGGATGGTCCAGCACCTGCACGTATGACAAGCAGTGGTTAACGCGGTGGTCGTATCAGTAGCAGTGGTGGTATTGGTTGGTGGGAACGCTGAGCAAAAGCTTGATCATTGCAACGCAGACCCACACGAAGACACTGGCGTAAACCCATCAACCAACACACACACACACACACACACATACACACACACACACTCGTGCGCACTGACTGCACACCTGAGTGGATGAGGAAGATGGGGAAGAGTGATCATGATGGTGGTCGCTTCGACCCATGTGTCGGGCTGTCCAAGGAAGCAAGTTGTCGTAAGGGACCACATCAACAACGGGTAAGCTCAACGAACATGCGTTGCACACAGCAGGGTACAGGCCATGCAGCTAGAGGACGAGATACAGGTGCGCCAAATGCTTGCGTGCATGCATGCATACCCATGAAATCGCGAGTGCGGTAAAGGTGATGATGGCGGTGCATCGGAGACATGAAAGAGGCTGGGGCATGCTCGGGCTGTGTTCGGACTGATCCTGTTCCCCAGTACCGTTGATCTACTCAACACAGCGCACCAGCCCAGCCGGCAGAGCAAAGGTGAGGAGGATGCGGTTGTGGACTTGCACATGCACAAGTTGACAAGTGGCAAGAGGGAACACCGACAGAGACAGTCAAGCACGCACACTACATCACCGCAGATACCTGTGGCTATGGATGTATCTTGTGGCTGATGTGTGCTTGTTGACCAAGGGCGTTGCGGTGCACGTGTTTGACCGCTGCGAGCGCTGCTGCTATTCGCGGAGCTGCTGTGCTGTTGTCGCGCCTGTGATGCGTATTGCCGCTGTCGATGTGCATGGTGTTGCTGGCGCTGTAGGCGCTGATGTTGCTGTTGGAGCTGCGCCTCCTGGAACGCGAGCTGGGCCGCTTGCTGCGCAAACGCGGCGTGGGCAGTCGCAGAGTGCTCCTGGCTTGGCTGGGAGGTGAGAGTGGGTTTGGATTGGTGTGAGCTAGGGTGCCTATGAGAGGGTGAAGGGAAGAGACAGCCCCACCACGAAGGCCTCTCTTGCTCCAAGAATGCAGTGCAACCAACACCAACAACAACACCAACACCAACAACAACACCAACAGCGACAATGACGACGACGAGGACGACGAGGAGGCTTACCCGGTGTGCACGTCGCAGTGTCTCTGCAGCCTTGAGCGCTGCGTTCCCACCACATGCATCCATGTTGCCGTGTGCTTGCTTGTTGCTTGCTTCTTGCTTGTCTTGTGTCCTCCTTTCGATTTAGATGTTTTTGTCTGTCGTTCTGTCGCACCAGGACCGTTGCGGAAAGGAAGGACACACACAGGCGCGCACACACACACACACACAAACAAGACACTCACACACACATACACGCACGCACACACACATACACACACATACAGACACACACAGCCATGTCAGCGACGCTGCAGGCGGCTGGCGTGGGAGCCAGGCTGGAGCCACCAGCTGTCATCATTGACTACATTGAGCGAGCAACAGGTGCGCTTGTGGCTTGTGGCTTGTGTGCGAGGGACACCTGCACGGTGTGTTGTGTCGTGGTTCGTGTGTTTGGTACACCCTCATGTACCCACAACGGCTGGCGGATGTGTGCGCGCGCGTGTGTGTCTGCGGTGGAGCAGGAAGGAGACGAAGACGGATCATTCCCGTGAGACGCAAGTACAACGAAACGTAAGCATTAGGCCAACATGAGGGCAGACCGTGCTTGAAACTGCTGGTGAAGCGGGCGGTTTGCATTTGCAACGTGAGGTCGAGTCAATGCCGCTCACGGCTGTGTTGTGTGTGCCGGTGGTTGCACTTGTTGGCGTCGTCGGTATTTGTGCTGGCGTGATCAGGCCCACCCAACTTCTGGACATGATGCGACTACATCACGAGACGTACCTCGACTGCATTGGCGAGACAAAGGTGCGCTTGTTCGTCCCACTTGCGCTCCGTGTGCTTTGCAGTCCGTCACTTCTGTGGTCCTGCAAACACAACCACACTGATGCATGCACACACACACACATGCACACACATGCACACACACTCTCTCGTTGGCATGTACACACCATACTTACACTACAAACATGTGAACGTGCTCAGGTGTTGCAGGCGCTGCAGGCGCTGGTGGATGCGATGGACAATGTGAAGGAAGGCAACTTAAACGTGCTGCCAGATGAGGTTGGTGGCCACGACCGCGACATGAAGTGAACAGTACCATCGCGCCACTGCACGTGTCACGCCTGATGTATGCAGGGCTGGTTCGAGACCACACTTCCACTCACAGCTCGTGCACGCGCACACGCGCCTAACAGGTGCTGGAGGCAAAGAAGAAGGAGATGGATGCGGACTTTGAGCGCAACCGCGTGAGCAAAGACAGCACCGACTTTGAATACGACGTGCAGAAGGAATTTGGGGTGTGTGTGTGTGCGTGTGCGTGTGCGTGTGTGTGTGTGCGTGTGTGTATGTGTGTGCGCGTGTGTATGTGCGTGCGTGTGTGTGTATGTGTGTGTGTGTTTGCACATGTTTGCGTTTTCACGTCAACAGAGATTGAGATGTGCAGTGCCTCCGCTGCGTTGTGGCTCTACTTCATTGTTCGCAACGGTCGTGTCACCATCACCACCACCTCACGTATCTCGCCATCACCTCATGTGTTCACCACAGCCTGCAAAGGAGGCGAGTGGGTGGGATTCAGACGGCTCAGAGGACAGCGAGTGGTGATGCAAATGCACATGTCAATGTAGTGAAGTGCGCGTGTGTGCATAACAGTGTTGTCGCTGTTGTGCTGTCATGCTGTCGTTGTACACGTTCATCACTGCGTGCTGGGCGCCTCTTGTTCAAATTATGTTTCATGTTACATCTGAGACACGCACCCCTTGTCACGCAAGCAGGCTGCTGGCTGTATCCTTTTCATGCGCGCGCGCGCTGTGTGTGTGTGTGTGTGTGTGTGTGTGTGTGTGTGTGTGTGTGTGTGTGTGTGCGTGTGTGTGTGTGTTGCGCACCTCTCTCACATGCAAGCAAGTGTGCAACGTTCTTTCCTCCTTCTGTTTTCTTGCTGTACATATGACAGTCGTGCCACCGCGACGCACAAAACAGTGAACGACGGAAACACGAGACAACAGCAACACATGTGCATGAACGTGACAACGGCAACAAGACAGCAGACAAAGCGTTCCCTGACACCAGAGAGAAAAGCATCAAATATAACACATTGTGTCGGCAGCAAGCAAGCGCACCAACAAAGAGGCAGCAACAGCAGGATGTGGAGATGTGTGTGTGTGTGTGTGTGTGTGTGTGTGTGTGTGTGTGTGTGTGTGTGTGTGTGTGTGTGTGTGTTCAGACGTAGAAGATGCGGACGCGGGAAGTGCTCACGAGTTCGTCCCCATCAAGAAACTTTGTCTCAATCACGACATTCCCGCTCCACGCAAGACGGTGTGTGTGTGTGTGTGTGTGTGTGTGTGTGTGTGTGTGTGTGTGTGTGTGTGTGTGTGTGTGTGTGTGTGTGTGTGTGTGTGTGTGTGTGTGTGTGTGTGTGTGTGTGTGTGTGTGTGTGTGGGCGTGCGTGTGTGTGTGTGAGGACGAAGGCGCGAGGAACAGGCACAAAGTAAATCGACAACGGTACGCACACACATTACACAGATATACACAACCACACAAACGCACAGGCAAAACCACGCGCCCACCCTTCCTCTTCACTCCCCGTGTCCATCCACCCCCCCCCCCAGCGTCACGCATGTGCGGACCTGAGGGCGCTGGCGGGCATCATCTGGGACTGCGGCGCCGCTTCAATGACAGACTGCCACGTGTTGGTTGACCCAGGCATAACAAACCCAAAGTCAAACAGCCACTCTGATGTTGGAGAAGAGAGTTGTTGTTGTTGTTGTTGTTGTTGTTGTTGTTGTTGTTGTTGTTGTTGTGTGTGATGAGGGGATGATTGGTGGTTGGCGTGAGCTTACGTGAGAATGTGAGAATGTGTGAATGCGGAGGGGTTGAGGGGCGAGTGGCAATCATGGGCCCAACGAACGCCATGGTGCAAAGGCGTGGGCTTAAGATAGGTGTGTTGCTACCTTCAAGATGCTGGTCCTTGTACAGCACTCTTTGTTCCAGCTTGAAGTCCTCAATCGGTTCCTGTGCACATTCATCCATTGAATGTTGGGGCGTGGGAGCAGGGAGTA